ATACTGATCTCTTTCCAACAGCGTATTCTGAAAAGCATTACTCCAGAAACAGCCACAGAAATTCCTTTTGGAGACATCGGCATGAACGCAGTGTAAGCTAACCTGCTTTCTGGGGAGAGAGGGGAAGCACAGAAAAGAACTTTCCACCCAAGGAATTATGCTTCCAGCTGAGATAACAACGGGGTGAGTTTTCTGTGGAGGTTCTGACACTGACAACGGACATTTGGAAACATGATGCCTCCAACACATCCATCCAAGCAATTCAATGAAACCTGCCATGCACTTCTAACCAGACTGACCTGGGAACCAACTCATTCTGGAAACACGAGGATGTCTGTGTGTGTGAAGATGGCACAACAGTGGGGCTGTTGCAGAAGCCTCTCTAGGATGAGCAGCAGCGGTAGGATTAGGTTTAGAATCTCGAGTCTGTGGCAGTTCTCCTGTATCTTCCTCAGTGTAATCGTTCGTACCGGGCAATGTTGTATTTGCTTCTAAGGTTCTAATTGCTTCAACTACATTGAAAAATACAAAAATATTTCCAATAGCCATATATTACTCAAGTAACACAGGGTTTTATAAATTCTCCAACTCCTGGGTTTGTAGTGGAGTCGTCAGAGGAAGAGGCAGCAATCTCCAGCAGCACTATACGCAGCTCTGCACAAATCAGCATGCACATTTGGTAACGTTATCCTCCTCATTTCATTTGTAGATCATATGTTTCTGTTGTTTCTTGTTTAAGGCTACAAAACCATTTTTTGTAACGTGGGCTTCGTAGTCAAGCAACAAAAAGGTTCACAGGTCATCTGACAAGCACTGAAGCTGCTAGCACAGCTAAGCTACATGTTCACAAAATCCTTGTACTCGCAGACGGTGCTTTTACACCCAAGGAAACTATATACCAATAATGAATTACTTTGAGCTCAGATGTCAAAAAGTGGACTCTCACTGATCTGCTTTTCTTTGTTTATTTTTTAAATTTCAGTTCCCCAGCTAAGATTGGCTGGAGCCTGTGGCTTTCTCTATTGTTTCCTGGTACAGACCTCAAGTTTAGAGCAACCCTTTTGGCTGGCTGACAGAAGTACGTTTACACAAACCTACTGCCAAGACTTACTAGCTCCTACTCTTATGTGAATACATTTGGTTTTCACCCTGAAGAATAACAGTAGGGTTTTTTCTTTAACAAGCAGTTGAGTTCATCAGGAGATTCTGATCAGAACCGATTGCATTAGATTTTGAAGCACTGATGACATACAAACTAACTTTCATGTATGTACTAACCTTGCCATATTATATCTGTACATATGCCTCCAGCAGTTTACAGCTGCTCTATAAACTGACCATCACTGCCAAATCAGCTGGAGGACAGCAGTTTTGCTGCAGTTACATGGGAATTTAGATAAACCTGAACAGTCATAGTCTATGTGAAGACACTGCATTTTCCCTCTACCATGTAGGCTATAAAAGTCTAAGAAAAGTAGAATAGAACATAAGAGCCTCTGCTGCATTTCATGCTTTACTTACAAATTAATGACACGATCCATGCACACGTAGCAGCAGGCACTGAGAAACCTACTGAAAGTTTACATCAGTACAAAGCACCTAAGAAAGCAGGGGAGGTGATTCTATGACTGCCTTCTGAAAGCAGTCACCTCACTTCCACCACTGCTATACTGACCCGAGTTCCCTTATCTTTCGCACTCAATCCCAACAAGGAAATAACCCTAAGGAACAAGGGCTATTCTGTGCAAATTACAAACAAAGGCCTCCTGCACTATTTTTTAAGAGGGAGTCTGTTCTTGCACTGCCACCAGAAAAACAAAATAAATTTGTCTTACTGGATGCTTACTCATACAGAATAGGTTTTGAAGGTTAGCCCTGCAGGCCCTCTGAAAACTACTTCCAAAATGTCTTCGTGGTGAGGAAAAGTTCATCTAGATATGCACTACGATTTCAAATTGCCAATCAGAGAAAATTACTGATTGTTTTTAATGAACTTTCCTGCTATGAGTACATTCCTTGAAAAAAAATAAAAAAAATACACATGAAACATCAATTAAAAATGAACAACGTCTGTATTCAGTATCAAGTGTGGGAAATAAAGGAGGAAATACCGCACACCTCTGTTCTTCAGACTGCTGCCCATCTATTGTGAGGTATCTTTCTCCCTCCATGCTTGTTTTAAGCAGATCTTTCTCACGGACCAATTTTTGGCCAGTTGATGCTGTTTCCTACTAGGCTCATCAAATAAATATCTTACAGTTCCAATTTTTAGCAGTTTTTGCACATCCACTTGCGAAAGTCTCTTCAAACAGACATTCTGCTGCCTTTAATTAAGAGCAGTGACAGTACAGCAGAATTAGTTGCATTAAACATCAGCACTGTCTGCATCAAAGCTAAAGTTTCTCCTTGAGCTCTTGCAAACAAACTGAAGCTGGGACTGTTACTCCTAATGGAATAATTTGCAGAGTAATTAATAACTGCTAAAACAACTGCTTCTTTGTGTGCAATACTTCCGACATGGTCTTCCTTTGGAACAGCATTTTAAATGGCAAAAGAGGCATCTGTAGTTTGTATTGAGACACTACATACAGTGCCTCACACGCTGCCTTTCTGGGAGGTGGTAGCACAGAATTCTGATGAGCTGCCCAAGAAATGCCATGTTTTTCTAGTGGAAGCCAAAAAAGCCCCAGGTTCTCTCAGTTTGAATTTCTCAGCTGAAAAAATCCAGACAAACACACCCTGACTACAGGTGTACTGTAGGAGATGAAAGTCTCTGAAATCACCTGCAGACAGACAGAAAAAGCAATGCAGATAGCAAAGGCACAGGACAGAAAGCACTGTCAGAGATAGGCAGCCCTGAAGATCAGTGACATCACATCTCCATCCTCTTTTCACCAGGACAGTCCAGCGCAGGGTCTGTATGGGAACCGAGGGTAAGGAAGCCCTCAAGTAAACTAACAAGTTCTCCCTTCCCAAGTAGCACAAAGATAAAACCATCTGTGTTTTCATTCCAATTAAAGTGAATTAGCAATGATTCAGTTCCGGTTTGTTTTTGGATGCATATTGGCTTCAGCTTTTCTATGTCTTTTTCTTATAAAAGTTCATTTCATGCTATCTCTGATAACTTTGTTTGCCTGAAACACAATTAATTAGATACCAAATGGGCTGCACTGCAATTCCAAGTGTTAGAGGCAAGGAAATCCCTTCTCCTCAGCTCACATTCCACTTACCTGCCACACCAGTACACCCCACTCTATAAGGAACACTGAAAAAGGAGTTAATGAAATTGCTAATGGAGGAACACGTTCCTTTCAAGCAGGAATTAAACTGGAGTTTTAGCTGTACAGAATTAGGCATTCCCTCCAACTTTTACATGGATGCATCTGTATTAATTTATGCAGCTGTTTAGTTACAAGTGTTGCAAGCTGATTGTAAGTTATCAGTATGTGCCTTGTACTGTAAACTGTCATTGTAATAAATTTAATAATCATAATCCATCTGTAGATGTCTCTTGTGCCTCTCTCTTATGGGGAGTTTCACGCTGGCCTGCAATAGGTCTCTTTTCATTAGAGCAAAGATAACAGTTCCAGGATGAGCAGTCCAATTTACTACATCAGCACGGCCTCTGACAAAAAGCAGAGTATTTTGTTTGCTCTCTGAACCCCATCTACTGTGAAATGCTCCACTTTCATTCTATTCCAACAGCAGAACCAACATGACGTTTGTTTAGACAGAGTATCAAAAATCATCTACACTCGGTCTAAGAGCCTAGCTACCCGACTAAAGCAAGTATAAAGCTTGTTCCACTTCAGGTCTTTAACTGCATTTAAAGTTTGCACTGACATTTTAACTCAGATCACCAAGTTTGCTGAACAAAATATTAGAGAAAATACCAGAGCTGACTGATGATGACAGCGCACACAGAACATCTCAAGAACTCAAACTCTGTCTACACTTTGACTTTGAGATTAAGAAAATAAAGACTGTCTCTGTTCTCACTACTGAACACCTGCTGACAGGAAAGATGGTTTTGAAGAGAAACAGAAAAAGGAAACCAAACACTGTATTTCTTTTCCTATATCACAAAGAAAGGGTAGAAGATCAGAAAAAAATCCAATTGGTTCTATTCTGAGAAATATACTTTATGACGTGTCAGAAAGGAGCCCAGGAGTTTTGGCAGCATTTACCAAAACTATGCTACAAAAGTACAAATGACTCAGCTGTTCTTCCTACTACAAACTGCTGTAGTGAAGTGAATCACACCATGTGCTTTCCTAACACATTTCAAGTCTCCCAAAAAGCAGGAAATGACCAACTTATAAGATCTGTGCTATGAAAATTATATTTGTGAAAGCACCACAGAAGTTTTTAGAAGAATTACTACATCAGAAGTTTATTGGAAAATAAAATAAGTTGAAGTGATCTGGAGGAGAAAAAAAGACACCAGTCCAACATCTTCAAATACCGCACAGGAACAGGAGCAGCCACAGATGCAAAAATGAAGAGCTGCTTACCTCTGGAAGGCCTCAGGTAGGCAGGGATCTCCAACAAGATGCCTCACCTCCCCTGCCAGCCCTTACATGAGGTCTGGGAAGGGGTGGATCCTGGCTTTATCCCTTCTGGTCACTCAGGTGAATTGCTTGCACCTGAGCTCCCCTGGGTTGGCCCTGCCCTCCCACCAGGTGCTCAATTACTGGTTCAAGACATGACTTAGCATTGCCACCACACAAATAACAACAGGAAAAAAGAACATTGTGAAAAGCATTAAGAACACAACCTATGAACTGTGACTGTTGTCAGATATCCTACTTACCAAGTTATAGTGCAAAGATAACTTCTTGCTTATGGATGGACAGATGGACATACCTAAAATACTACCTCCAGAACAAGCAGACATGAATGCAATACATGAGAAAAGTCTGAAATACCTTATTTCACACACAAAAAAAAGATGACATTATTACCTATATAACAGCATTCAAAATGACCCACACGTTGGACACAGTATGTACCTTGCACTTTATTTCTGTACATCAGGTCCCTAAAACTAAACCCAAACGTATTTACAAAATCCATATGTCAATATGCATTAGCTTACAAAACACCACGTTACATACAGGGATTGTTTTCCAGGCTGTTCCGTTGCCATTTTCCCCTCTTTTACAGGTGTTTATGATTTTTGAGAGCATTGCTGGGTGCTGATAACTCTTGGTAAGGCCTGAGACTCTCAAAGCATTAAGAGCTTAGGAGTTCATTCTGATCCAACTGCAGAGGATAGGAGCTGCCTGTGGGAGCATTCTCACCTGAGCTGTTCAGTATTCCTATAACTCCCCAGAATCTTCAGATGAAAAATACTGAAGACAAAGCTGGACTGATTTAGACAAATTTAATACTTTGACTGCACAAACTGATGGAGGGTGTGCATCAAGTGATCAATGAATCCATTTCAAAAGATATGGGCTTTCTACTATAGCACATAAAATGTATTTTATGAAACCTAAAAATAAATAGGAAGCTCTTCTGTACAAACGTCCATGAAGCAGCGGATTTTCCTCTTGGTTGAGAAACCAAGAGTTTTTGTCCACTACAGTGACATTAATCTTCTTCTTTCTCAATGTAAGATTTAGCACCAACACGTGCCATCTGCCTTGCCAAGTACCGGTCCCTTGCTGACATGACAGTCTCTTCATTGCTCCGTTTGGCAAATTTGCTCATGCTCTCAGCTGGTTTTTGTGTCTGTTCTTTCTCCTCTTTCTCCCCTTCTCCATCCTTACGTTTCTGCCCAGACAAATTCCCAGAGCTGGAGCTTTTCTTCTCATCCACCTCTCTCTCTCTTCCCTTTCTCTCCTTTTCCAGATCAGTGTCATCGTTTTCTAAAGCTGCAGGACTGCTTTCCCTCCTGTCCCTGTATTTTTCATCACTACTAGCTTTCTCTCTCCTCTCCTTTGAACGATCTTCCTTCTCTCTGCATTTCTCCCCTCTTTCCTTCTCTCTGTCACTGGATCTATCTTTACCACTTCTTATTCTTTCTTTTTCTCGTTCCTTTTCCGAACACTTCTCCTCTCTCTCCTTTGCCTTCCTCCATTCTCTACCATGCCCCTCCCTCTCTTTTCTTTCCTTCTCCCTTTGTTTATCATCTTGCTCTTCCCTTCTCCTGTAATAGTCTTTACCAGTGTGATCCCCATATCTGTGTCGCTCTTCCTTTTCCTTCTGGTGATCCTTTTCATGGGTCCTACTTCTCTGATAGTCTTTTCCCCTGCATTGTTCATCACAGCCCTTTCTGCTTGGTCTGCCCTCTCCCTTCTTTGTAACATGGTTTGTCTGGTCTTTTGTGCGCAGCTCTTCCTCCGCACTGGACGAACTCGGTGACCTGGAATGCCTCTGGCTCTTGTGACGTTTAGTCTCCTCCTCGCTGCTCTCAGAGGAGGCTCTCCTTTTCTTCTTTTTCAAACTCACTTTAACAGATTTATGTCTCTTCTCATCATTACTATCACTTTCTAAGTCAGTATCAGCATCTGGATTATCTTCTTCTTTAGCAGAAGGTTTGAGCCTTTGTCTTTCATATGGGCCTTTGCTCCTTTGGCTGGATTCATCATAACAACTGTCAGATTTATCTTCCTTTATCCTACATTTTTTATGTTAAAAAAGAAGAGGAAAAAAAAACATTACACAGCCAGAAATCTCAGACTTCTCTATAGGTTGACTTCTGATCAGGACTTCAACAGGACTGTAAACAAAAGATGCAGCTGAAAAAGTCTACGGCAGCAAATCTATTTGGTGCTCAGGTTCCAGGAATCTAGCATAAACCATTTCTATGAAAGATCTGCATCTAGTTCATTGGTGAATGCAAGTTGATGGATTTATCTAAAAGAGTGAGTAAGGTTAATATCTGCAGTCTCTATCTAAGGAACAGAACAGAGATTTGCATTCTTGTTTGAGCTTTCTGGCAAGCGACACATTTTTTCCTCTGTTTTTTCCCCTATTCTTATCAGATAGTCACTCAGAGGAGAAGCAGGTTGGATGTTTCAATGATAGAGGCAGGAACATAGCTTCTGTAAGTAGATTTTTAATCCAGTAGTTCTGAAGATGTCATTCTTGCAGCTTAACAAAAATCAGTTCCTTTTAGCAGCTCATAGATTTGTACATAAAAAAGATGATCCATGAAGGACAAATTTTGGCACTAGGCAGAACAGGTTATGCTCAGTCACACTTTCCTGACTGGTAAGGAAATACATGTTCCATTACACACAAGCTCTCCTAACCAGCTACAACAATCTGTGGTAAATTCTGATGGATCAGCACACCACCTATTATTTCCAGTGTGTGGCATATCCTTATAGCAAACAACCTACAATTCCTTTATTTCACACAGCCAAGTAACTTAACTGTGAGCACATTCTTCATGTAAGGACTTTCTTTCTAACCCACTCTCAGATTCAGTACAGCTTTTATGAAAGCTGCATTTTCTTTGTGATAGCAAACACTTACTCAGTGAGATTGAGGTCTGAAGACCATCCCAAATGAATTTTAACCTGAATTAACTGTTATAAATGGTCATTTGTTGCATATAATGAACACATATCCCCTTCAACATATTCATCTACAGGACAGGATTTCACCATCTCAGCTACATAAATAACTCAGCCTCATCTCATTACTTTGCCTTGGACTGTGTATATATTAAGATCTTAAAATTCTCCATCTGAACATTCACAGTTTATTTGATTCATTTCCTTTTACCACAGCATTAGCACTGAATTTGTTTATTTTTCATGAACCTGCAAATGTGGAATGAGTATAAAGTCATTGTTCCATGTTTTTTCCAGATGTTAATACCAAAGTCATTTCTCTTTGATTTGCTTCTCTGCCCATTATGTTACCTTTCGCCTTCCTCGTGATCCAACACACGCAATTTAATGCAGATTGCAAAATATTATGCAAACCAAAGTAAATACAGGTAAGCATAACATGAACTATTACAAGCATGACAGTCTGCTGACACTTTTTAACTTGTCCTCCAAGTTTTTTTGTCTTATCATCTATACCACTGATGATCACTGGACATTTTCCAAATAACTCAATTAAGCATCTGTACCAACTAATCACCCAACCAGTGTGTTATAGCATTCCCTGTCTAATTCTTGCAGTATTTCCATAAGTCTGGAACCACATCCAAGCAGAAGCTGTTTTATATCTGAAGCCCTTCCGAACCGCATCATACCTGGCTTCACGGAAGCTGCACTTTGGCACCTCTTCTTCCCCTACCCTCTGGTTTAAGAGATGTCTGTAGAACCCACTGAGGTCCTTCTGTTTGGTCACATCCAGGTATGCTAAGGGGAAAAAAGCAAGGTTAGATTTACTGTGCTGTAAATACTCACAAGACACAAGTGGTAAAGACAGCAACAAGAATGCTATCTTCATCCCAAGAGGTTTTTAGCCTGAACTGGAATGAGCTCTGAACAAAGTGATCTGACTTCATTGTAGGCCATGCTTGAAACAGCAGACTGACACAGATGGCCTTCAGAGGTCCACTCCAACCTGAATTATCTTGCTCTAGATGCTGAAAATGCAAGGTTACACCTCAACCAATTCTACCTTGTTTGTTATTCTGCTGTGAATTCTAAGTCCTATTTCAATGACTGTTCAATAGATCCTACGTAACACGTGAAATTAGAGAGTGTGAGCATCACTGTACCCCAGGCTTACAAGTCTTCCTTCAAAAACTGACACTTTCTCAAAAATTAAAACCCCAACACACAAATGGAGGAGCTTCCCGTGTTCCTTCAGTAACCTGTACAAGGCAAAATAACAGATGGGAAGTGGGATCCAATTCAGTATCTGCCATCTGCTCCTCTTTGATATTTAAACCGTACCAAGGCTCACAGAAAGACTGGATGACAGTACTGTCTGTCAATACAAGGTCATACTTCTAGGTGGAATTCTGCTGCTTCACTGTTAGTCTCACCCTCCAGAGCTGCCTCTCTTCTTTCTCTTTCCTCCTCCTCAGCCCTCTCTTGCAGCTTCTTCTTATAGGCTGAAGTCACAAAAGCCTCTTTGTCAGCAAATTCTCCTCCCTCCATTTCACGCTCTTTCTGAATTTTTCTTTCCATTCTTTTTTCTTGTTCCTTCTTCCTAATCTCAGCTGCTTTGAGGATATTGTGGATGTATCTGGGCTAAAAGAGAAAGGAAAAAAAGGTATGATGCTGAGAGATAATTAAGGTGACTAAGAAAACACAATTTGGGACTGTTGGAGATGTTGAAGGGAGTTTCTAACAGAAACTAGTCCAACGCATTCTTACACTGACAACAATCTTATATAAACTGTAATTCCCTTTTAGGGAGATTAACAAATACAGAAAAATATGCCATATATTGTAAGCGAGGTGGGAAACTTACAGTCTGCTTCCAGAGAACCACTGGATCAAGGACTCTGAAGTATCTGACTGACTGAACTCTACCACAGTCGCACATTACTACCTTAGGTAACAGCATTTGAGCACAAAACTCGTATGCCCCATTACAGAATCCATTCAGCAAAGCTTAAAAGTTAAGCAGTTAAAGTTACTCCAAGCACAGATAAGACAGAGCTCAGACACAGAGAACACATTTTCCAGCACTGACCTTTTTTTCGTCTCTCCCTGATAATAGCCTGGCACTACTTTCTTTCTTCTTCTGCTGCATCTCATCATAGATACTGTCATATTCATATACTGTAGCATCTTCTGACAAAGCCTTCTGAATTTCCAACTTTGTCTAAATCAAGACAAAATAAAACAAAGCATGTGGGGTGGGAGCTGACACAAGAATGAAGCATGAAATTAAAGGCAGTAATTTCCCAATCTGCCACAGGCACGAAGATCCTTTGTTGCACCTCACCTGCTTCATTGCCTGCTTCTTCAATGCCTCTTTCTGAAGACTTTCACCAACGGATGGCTGCAAGAAGAAAAGATTGCAGAAACAAAATTAATCACATTGACACAGCTCACAACTATATATAAGCAGTTTCTTTCTATTAGGGAGTCTCTCACTTCAATACTATTTGTCTGCAAGCAAGAACAACTAGAAATTCATTCACAGGCACACAGTGGATCTGCCTCTTTCCTGGGCAAAGTACTGCAGCACTTCAACACACAGGTCTTGCATAAAAGTGGTGATGGATTTAAGAACACAGTTTTAACAACCAGTTTGCCTCAAAAGCCACAAACAATTCAATGTCATTTCACAAAACAAGCGGTCTCAGTTAAGAAGCACCCAGAGATCTGTGGAAACTGTTCTGTCCCAACACCATTCTCCAACCACCACCAAAAAGTCAGGAAGACGACCTGTCCCCCACAGCAGCACGGGTCAGCCTGGTGGTGTGAGGAGCTGGCACATCAGCAGCCAGACTTCTAGCCAAGGCCAGCTACAGCCAATGCTGAAACAAATTCCTAAGGCAGGATGATTGCCCTGCACATTCTCATCAACCCTAAACTTCTTTTAGTCGTTGCTAGAATAAAAGTAAAACACAGAACCCCCCCCCCCCCCAACCAAATGAACCAAACTTGGAGTTATACCCTCCTGCCAATTTATGCATCAAAATCATTTTAATGTTCTCACATATTTATACTGCAGAATACAGAAGGATGAATCTTCTCAGTGATGTTATAATTGTATTTCCAATAGTCTGTGACAGTTCAGTGCTGCTCAGAACACACTTGCACATATTGGCTCAGAGAAGCAGCAGTGCTGAGCAGGCACTCTTACTGACAGCAGAATGAGAACAGCATTCAGAGCAAGAACCAAACACCCGAAAGGATTTGGCAAGACTCTGAGTTGATCAGTATCATTGGTTCTGTACTTTTAACAGCAAGAATGCTGCTGATGGGAGCAGCACGTACTTCAAGCACTCACGTTTAGCTGCTCAGCATTAATATGCTGGAAAACAGCAGCATTAATCCTCCCTAAAAAAAAAACATATCTGCTACTAAAAACGTTTTCTCATCACCACAATTTCTATAAGCACATGAACAAACCAACCCTGAGTTTTAGTCAGTTTTGTCTTTCAATTAGTGCTGAACTGGCCCGCACATCTCTTTCCTCAACCAGTAGGCAGTGCTGTTTATTAAGTACATTCACTATAAATGAAAGGGCTTGTTTCCTTGTGTCTGCCATGAAGGTTTGGGGCAGATGGGAGTGTGATGCTCACCCAGCTCCAGCCCCTGCTCTCCAATGGTTCTGGGATGCTCACATTTGCAGCACAGGACAGTACTGAGCCCTAAGGAGTCTCTGCATGCAGACAACAGAAAGCACAGACTCCACTGAAGACAGACCAGACCCTGCAGCTGTATTTACAGAACACCAAAATATCTGGTGACCAGAAATATTGCATAGACTGTTTTCCCTGTCTGCCCACGTGAGATGAACGAGTTGATCTGCAGACACAAAGGCAGCAGTAACAGACAATCTCATTATTGCACACACGCCTGTAAGGAAGCCCACCTGCGATATGTTTGCCTCGAATGGCAGCAAGTTTACAACAAACACCTTCCCTAAAGGTTTATGGCTGACAATTTCCTGTTGTGCCCTGAGCTCTGATAGATGAGAACTTCCTGTTCTTTTGTATTGTTTTTACTTATCAACTGCCCATTTATTAAAGGCCTATAAGCTCGGCGATCTGTCTCACACTCGTACTGCACTCAAGCTATTCTTCCAAAGCACAAAGCTTGTAGTTTTAATATCTGCTGGAAGGAAAAGATACTTTAACCCTCTCCTGTAAAAGCACACATGCAAACAAACAAACTTCAAAACGAGACTCTGAAGTCTACCTGCCCTACAAGGCCAGGGCAGAAAGCTCTGATGGGAACAAAAAGACAACAAATAGAACAAAGGGCCTCAGTCTATGAGCACTCTCACTGTTCTCTCCCATTTCTTAGAGAAAAAAGAACATGAAAAATAAGTCCATATGGCAGTCAATCTCCTTGGCACACACTCCCAGCTTCCAGCAACCCATAGCAGAAGATTTCCTGCACAGGAGGATGCACCTGGGCCACTGTTGGACACCACGAGCATCCCTTTGTTTGACTCATCCATTTCTGAGCCCATTTATAGCTCTGGCCGCACCGCAGCGTCCCGTGGCGATGGGTTCCACATCTGCATCACACACTGTCTGGACAAAAACAACTTCCTTTTGTTTCCATGAAACCAGTTCATTCCATGATATGTTCTGCTGCTCATATTATGAGAAACAGCAAACCTGCTTTACTTTCTCTGGATCATTTTTGCTTTTCCATGCTTCCTCCACACTCACTTCTCCACTTTGCTCAGGGATCTCTGCCACAGCCCCTCAGTCTGTTTGCTCTTGTGCTGCATGAACCCCAGTTCTTATCACTACTCAGCTTTTTTTTTTTCCCAGACATTGCATTTTTGGGCTTTTTTGGAAAGGAACTGTAAGCAAGAACAAAAATGGGTTTACAACCCAATGCAGTTTTCTTTTCAGTTCCAGTTTCTTTATGTTTGCTCCAATGCTCCTCCTCTCTTTTGGGGGGGTCACTAAAACAAGCCAGCCCCCCACCAGCCAACACTCACAGAACATCCCCACTGCCACCACCATGTCCCCCTGCACTGAGCACCCAATGCAATCTGTGTGCATTTTGGTTTTTATCTACACTGCCATCCTGAAGCAACAGATCAGTTCTGAAGGTTGCTTGGTACGGTGCAGGTGATTCTAGTTCAATAAACAGACATTTTAATGCTGCAAAATGAGTCTCAACTTCCAGAGATACTCCCAGCTAAATGGTAAATGAAGAACAGAGCGCAGAGCAGCGCACGGGGGAAGTGACCACTGCTTCTTGAGACACAACGTGAATAAGGGGGTAATGTGAGATACAGCATGTGAACAAGGGGGTGATGTTTGTGGAGAAAATGAACAGACCACAAGCAGCAGCAAACCACAATGAAAGCTCATTTCTCACATCTCCCTTTGCTGATGCATCACCTGCTCTCCACTAAAGGCTCTCCGCAGGTTGACCACCTTCCCTCCATATCTAAAGACAGTAACAACCCCTGCTTATGAAGGCAAATAACTCAGAACCAGGGCAGCCAGGAAGAACTGCAACCACCTGCTTCAGTTGTCCCATTCAACACTGATCAAAAATATCTCAAGAAGATTTCCATCCAAGATGTTCTGCTTGCTATGAACTAACCCAAGAACATCTTCATTGCTGGCTAACGCCCACTGATGTACTTTGCCACAGTCACATTTTAAACTCCTGCAGCAAAGGTACAGGCAAAGCCTTAATAAAATACACACATAACATTAAAAAAAAAAAGGAGGCAAAAGTTTGGTATCTCACATATAATCACAGCCCAAGTCAGGTGTGCAGATTTCCCAGCACAAACTTTATTAGAGTTCAGTTAAAAATACATAATCTCCAGACGTTTGAGATGTAGTTCTGAGTGATAAGCCAGCAGACAGGAAATGAAACCCCTCCCAAATGCAGCTCCTTATCTTGAAAGCTCTGAAATTATTATTGAACTAATAAAGTAATTTTGCTTTTTTTAAAAGTGATCCTTTTTTGATAAAGGCAGTTATGAGATTATTACATTTTGCTGGGAATGTACCACACCAATGCACAGGACAACTTTTAAGAGTCTTTATAACAGGCTGGTAGTGAATGTCAGCTTTTCTGATAGAACAGATCAAGGATTTTTTACGTACAAGTTAGCTGGCAGCACCATACACTGCTACTATTACTGTTATTGTAATTGTTATCATTCATTTTACTCCGAAAATTAAAAAGAGAAAACACAGAAGTGAAAAACAAGTCACCTCCCAGCCAGGAGGGTTTCCAGCCCTACCATCTGAGGTATCATGACAACCCATCATCTGAAGCTCATTCCTGGATGTACAGAAAGACACCAAATCCCAAACTGCCACAGAAAGGAAAGTACTGCTGCCCCGGAGGGCAGTGCATCCTATCGTCCCTATTAGCTGTGCTCAGAGGAAAGCCTCTCCTTAGAGCCAAGCTGGCAGCTATGAGCTGAAGCAGAGGAACACCTCCACACGGTGCTGAGGATGCAGCTGGGTGAGGTGAGAGATGGCATGTCAGACATGTTCACATCCTCTGCACTTCCTACAAGCTGCAGTTTCACATTCGAGGCTGACTGGATATCACTGGGAAGCCCTCAGCCCTCTCCTGCACTGTACAAAGGCAGCTCCAACGCCCTCAGCAGCAGCAGATGGGATTCAGCCTCTCCCAGAGGTTGGCAATTGTTAGATTTGGGCTTATTGTCACAAAACATAAGAGCTACCAGTTCAATAAAAAAACATTTACGATGTTTGGTTATAGGAATTAGCAACTGACAAATATTATTTGATGCTTAATTAGCACTGTTCTTTGCAACTACACAATCAAAACAATGTTTTCTGGGCTTTGGGTAAAAAATAAAGTATAACACACACGTAATGACATTATGATCAAACTATCACAGACAATTTCTGATTGATACTAGCCAGTAAACTGCAGCCTCATCTCCAGAAACAGAGAAAGAAGTTGCAACCTTAGCACTTATCCATATAGAGACAAATCACCTCCACAGCTCTGAGTTCCTACCCTTTACCCATAGACTACAAAGCTACTGCCTTTAAATTCTTCAAAACTTCTGTTTAAGATCAGGGCTATCTGTAAGCACCCAAACAGCCTAAATGCTGAGCCAGTTCTTGGGTGCATCCCACAGAGCACTCCATCCTGAAGTGTAATTTTTAGAGTGCAGCCCCCTCTACTGGAACAAGCAGAAAGTTTATATTTTCATTCTAACATTTCAAAAGCAAATAAAGAGTACATAAAAGAACACTATGAATGTCATGCAGTGGAGTCATACACCTCCGAGCACCAACAAAGCTTGTGGTCACTGAAATCCTGCACACAGTGTTATCTCTTATTAGCAGAATTGAGTGCTTTGAGAGCTACGTATCATCCACATCCAAATGATTGTCTCTCAGTACCACGGCCATGAGCAGATGCGCACATTAGGGCAGTAAGCAAATCACTTACAGAACACAGTGCAAGTATCAGAAGAAAACTGTTGAACTGACCTCATCATCAGAGTCATCTGCAAACACTGAGAGCTTGTTAGAAGCCAGATTCTTCTGCTGCAATTTCTTGGGCATAATAAGCCCATACCTAGGGAAGAATGCTGAAAATCAATTTTCATGCTATGTACACATAGCAGGTTTCAAAACAGAGCTCTGCTATTTACAACTCTAGAAACAGAAGATGAGCAGCACTACAATGTATAGAGCACAGCTCAGGGCAGTGCTGATGGCAGCACAGCCTGCCAGCTTCTCCCACTGCCACCATCAGCCTTTTTCCACACAAAATTTAGGGATAAAACTACCCATCTTCCTAAATTAGGCCACAAATACTTTCTTAAATGATTTTTCTTTCTTCCTTCCTCAGGGAAAGAAGAAACAATTTTAACTCCCAAAGGACCGACCCACACCCAATGCTCTGTAGACACACTTTTGGACAGCAACGTGCACTACCAACGTACAGGTGCAGCTGGGGCAATCAGCCAGCTCACATCACATCACAAGGCAAACAATCAGCCAGGCCCTGCATTCAGCTCACGGCCCAGTTCTGAGGTGGGGCAGCCCAGTTCTGAGGTGGCGGTTGGGCCGCGCCGGGAGCACGGCGGTTTCTGTGCGAATCCTGAAGGGATTCTGCTTCGTTGGAGTTAAAAATTCCCTCAGCGCCTTCGCAGCCGCCCCCCGCCCCTTCCCACGTATAGTTTTTGTGGGTTTTTTTACTTTATAAGGAACACAGTTTTACGAGTTTTACGTTCAGGCCAACGCGGCGAAGCCGCTACCCGCCAACAAACACCGACTGGGACGACCGAGCGCTCCGGTAGCGCCATCCCCGGCCGGAGGTGGGGCGGGACCCGGCTCGTGCCCGTCCTCGGCGGCGACCCCATGGCGCCCCTCGGTTACCGCCACCCCGCCGCGGCCCGCACTCACTGCTTGCTTAGAGCCGCCATCTTGTCCCGGCAGCCGCTGGGCACAGCCGCCTGCTGCTCCGCGGCCGCAGATTCCTCCTGTCTCTGCTGCTTTCCACTTCCCTCTCTCTGGGCGCTCCCGCCGCGCCGATCTCGCTTTTTGCTCCAGAAGGGTCGCGGAGAGCGAGCGGAAAGGCACAGAGCTAGCAGATGAATTTTGTAACAGCGGAATGGCGAGTGGCGAAAATGCCGCTGCGGATAGGCAGCGATCTGCAGCGCGCGCGTCCCCGCGCCCCTCCCCCACCCGCCGGCGGGTGCTGCGGGACCGGCGTTCCCGTCCGCAGACATGGAGGCGCCGGTCTGAAAGGAGAAAGGAGGATTTAATTTCCCACAGATTTATTAAAAGAAGCCGTTCTGCCAAAAGGAGTGTTGCACAGATGCAGCCTTGCTGCAGGCTGAAGTTGGGGGCTGTATGAAAACAGCGGGGCTGTGCTGCAGCGCGCCTATAACTGCTAACAGTGCTGATTAACAGCCGTCAATTAGAGCTGCTTCTAAAATGTAACTGAAAGAGGGGGAATCCCCAGCTTCTGTGCTGCATGGCTTATGAGTGCTTCTGCCATCAAGTGTTCCCAGCCTCTCTTACTGGAACTTCAATAATAAAGCCTCAAGCAGCCTTTTTAAGGTTTAGCAGATAGATTCATACTCGCAAAAGTATTTCCTTGCAATGTTTTTACTGCTCTTAATGGCACCTAACTAACTGTCTTGACGAGTGCTGAGTTGCAATGCATAACTAATAAAAGCAAACAATTAATGAAGCAGTGTTTCATTACAGTGCTCCTTATCAGGAGCTGCGTTAGGTGAGCAGCTGGTGGTCTTAACAGGAGGCGTTGCTGTGGGCAGTGCTGCAGGATGGGGCCGCGTTGCTCCGTGTGCTCTCTGTCAGCTGGACCAGGCACAGGCAGGTGTGGACCCAGCGCTCCAGGAGCCGGGCTGCTATGGAACCCTGCGGCCAAACTGCTGCCTGAGGTGCCCCTGCAACAGAGGAGAGCTGTCACTGCAAAAGGCTAGCTTGAAACCATGCAGTCATACCTCTAAACATCTCTCTGGGAGTGGGGTGTAGGTTATGTGCTTCCATATTCCAGGACATGTCTATAGAACATAGGGGTATTGTCCAACACACAACGTGTGTGAACGCTGATGTTCATTTAGCAAGAATTCATAGCATCGCAGAACCATTTGGGTTGGAAAAGACCTCTCAAATCCCCACGTTCAACCCCAGCCCACAGTGCTCACTGACTACAGCCCTCAGTGCCACATCTCCATGGCTATGGGACGCCTCCAGGCTCAGGGACCCTTCTTCACACTGTCCCGTCCCTCAGCTGTTCCCCATCAGACTTGTGCTCCAGTCCCTTCCCTTGTCAGTTGTACTGATTTCAAACCACTGATCTCACACTGTTGTCCCACAAATAAGTTCCAATAATTTGCCAAAGTGTTTTGTGTGCCTTTCCAGTTAAGCCTAGGAGGACTGGATGCTTGAGGCCTGCTTCATTCTCTCCAGAATTAGTCTAATGTACATGGGAACACATACAAAGGAGCTATGACTGCTCACTGCTCAGCAGTAGGAAGGTCACTGTAAATGAGTATCCCCAGCTGAATTAGTAAGTCTGTCCACACTTAATTTTAACGAGCCTCTCAGTCTGTCATTAAATCGATAAGGGAGAGATGTCAACAAGAACACCACTTGCTTCTCCTGCAGAGAGACTGAAAATACTAGTAGCCTCTTGAGTACTCTGGCACCAAAAAAAGCTCATATTCATTAAATGAGGGAAAGACAGATGGAAACCTAACCTCCTGTTTATGGCCAATGAGTGTATGGAGTACCTGGCAGATGGTGTTTATGAGCAGGAGGGCTCCCACTGTGCTCCCACACCCATGATTTGTTTGGAGCTGGGTCATTGCCTAGTGCACAGCAGGTCTGATGTACACAGAACAGATTATTTGCCCAAAAAAACTCAATTGTTAGCATGTTACCTACAGGTTTACAATGAGATCACCCGTTCTGCTAGATCTCAAAGCTGATCTGCTCCCCTACCCTCAAGGCAGTGAGTTTTGATAATAAATATAACAAATTGACTTTTATTGACGAAGTCTGCAGATATTTAGGACCCCTTATCTATTGTTTAATCTATCAGGAAATCAAAATTAGTTTTGGAAGTGAGGACTTAAAGCGCTCAGCTGAATGTCACTACTGAGAGTGTTTCATGGCTGAGCTGTGCCTGATCATCTCACAGTCACTGTATGGTATTTACCATTGATACAGTTCTGCACCAGCTCTGCTTGAACGTGCACAGATGCAGCAGTGGGATCAAAGCAATACATCTCCTGAATTAAATTGTCGTCAAGTTGCTGCAATGAAGAGAACAAAGAAGGTCGGATGGTGAAAACCTTAAGAGAGAGTTGCAGAATTAAAGCTGGCTAAGGTTGGCCTGTAGGAAACTTGCAGGCAGCACTTCTAGAAATGATAAGTCAGAAAATGGGAGATTGAAAGGAAGAAATAAACGTCTCACCAGTATGCACTGATTCCAGTTCTCAGTCTTCTCTGTGCCCTCCCACTCTGGATGTAAAAGCAACAGCACAGCCTTCATTATGTTATGTACCAGAGCTGGTGGGTCTTCGTAGCTCCTGATTTCAGCAAAGCTCTCGGCATTCAGTTTCTGGATACACTCACGCAGGTCCTGCAGCATGAAGCGGTGGAAGACAATCCCTGCATGCCTCACATTCCTGTGTTCTGCCTCTGGAATCACAAGCAAACCTTTCAAGAAGTTGCTTGGAAACATTCACTGCTCAAGACTTACATTACTGGCTGAACAGCTGTGCCTCTTTGCCATTAGCTCATTTTCTCCTTAACAAAGAGCTTGATCCATTTACAACCCAAGTGTGCTATGCAACATTTCAGAAGGTTATGTGTTCTAGGAGGCAAAGCTTTCTGTAATGTGTGATGTGTTGAGACTGCTGAGTGCCTTAAGGGGATTAGACAGGTGCCATAAATGTTACAGAGCAGTCCTGAGAGCACAGAGGGCCCAGGCACACAGGTAGTTGTGACACTGATCCTTTCCATCTCAGCCGGGGCACTGAGCAGAAGATGTTAGATTCCTGAATGCAGCACATTGCTTCACGCCTTTGATTTCAGTGGAAATCCCGTGAACCAAAGCCAAAATCTAAACATGCTGCTTAAGGGTACTGTGCTCAGCCCCTGGGCTTGCTCAGGAGCAGTACCTGGACCAAAGGTCTTTGGTGTCATTTGTATTTGCACAAATACTTCCGAAGTGGTTTTACTGTGATTCCTGCTTTTACCCCTAATAATCTCTCCTGGCTCTGTGAGCACAATACCCAGGACACAGCTTGCTTTGGCTTCCTCTGAAGGCATCTTCAGCAGTTCTGAACAGGCAGCTTGGGCCATCTTCAGCATTCTCTGCAGGTCCTTATGTTCGTGGGGAGGTAATGTCTGCTGGGGTCCAATGCTGATATCAAATAACCCCAGAGCTCGTCCTGACAGGTCCCGGAGAGGCACTGCAATGTGCTGTTCTCCACAGACAGAACTGCAAACAACCTCTGAGCAGTCTGTGCACTTAAACAGGTAATCTCTGAAATGAGAGTAAAGAGAGGAGTAAGTCCACAGCTTTACCACTCCAGTCCCTCTGGGCACTTTAGCATGTTTCAGTTACAGGTCATTCGTCTCTCGCTGTTAAAACAAAGGTATTATCTTACAATTATTGTTTAATTCCTTTAACTGAAACATGAACGTGTTTAAGTCTCATTAAAGCCATATACAGAATGGAGAAAATTACATTTTGGAATACAATATTGCTGAAAATTGCAGCTGTTGAAAACCACAACAATTCAACAAAGCTAAAAGTAGGTTGTATTCTCACTTTAAAAACAACTTCTTGTTTGATATGCTTAAGACAAGTCTGTGAGGATCCTGGCAGCTGAAGGAAACAGATAATGACAGGAAATGAGACAAATATGGCCAGGAAAAAAAAAGGCAGATTACTGTAAATAGTGAAATCCATCACTATAGGCTCTGATCCTGCAAACCTTCCACAACAGATGCAGAGCTTGCTCAGCAGCTCATGCAGTAAGCATTAAGATGGAAGCTAATTTTCTGCAGGCCTAAAATCAAATAGAAAATGCACCTTGTGCTTTCATCATTCAGCATCACATAGATCCACACCTGGAGCCTCAGCAGAGAGACAAGTGTGGGCAGGCACTGCAGCAGGGCTGCGTTACAGCCGGCCTCATGCTGTGTGCATTGTGCAGGCTGGGATCTGGGACCTGGGGTGTCTGGTAACTGACTGCAAGTGCTGGAGCCCACCTGAAAAGGTTCTCTTTTCTGAGGAGGAGGACAGGAGAGGTCTGGATTTCCTTTTGTCCTGTACTGTCTGTAGCAATCATTCTGCGCAGAGCATAGTCGCACATCTGTCAGACAGGAGAGGGGTGGTTAGCTGCACGCAGGAGAGGAACAGCCATTGTGAAGCTTGGAGAGGGCAGAGTGTTTGTGTGTGTGTGTGTTAAAATTCCCACATGCATTTGAATGCCATGAGATGGTTTTAGACATCTCCCAGCAATGCCTAGTTTTATTACCAGGCATTGTTTTTATTCCCCTTCTTGCTCAGGGTGCATGAAGAATGTGCCTGGACCTTCCCTCAGCCAAACCATCTAATGCGTCCCCAGGCTCCACACCGAGGAACACCCACAGGCTAAGGAAGAGGTTTCCCTTCTTTTTCACATCGTGTTACAGTCCTCATTTCTCATGGCACGCTTCTGTCAGCATGCCTTGACACATGACCTGCCTATCGGGCAGTTAACGAGGGACAGGGCAGAGCCTGGAATGACAACAGAAAGCTTCCAACAAAAACAACGCTTATCAGAGGAAGCAGATGAATTATGGCTTCAGCAGATGTCATACAGGCATTGTGGTGACATGGGATCATTCCTTACTATTACACGCACTTTTCATCTCCTTAACTTACTTGTATGTGAAGTGACAAGCTTCCCAGGGCTCGAGTGCCTGCTGAACCACTGGGATATGATCTGCTCATAGGTGGGCTGCCTCTACAAGCTGCCTAAGTGGGAGCAGCCCTTCCTGCACTGCATTTAGGTCTTGGTTCAGATAGAAGCCTTTGGGCATTCCTTTTTTTCCATGCCTTAATTTTCACATGCACAGGGTCTCCACTGAAGGGCATCTCCCTTTGTGGAGGT